TTAAAAAAAAAAAAAGTAAGGTATCCAGGTAGCTAAAAAAAATTTAAAGACCCTGAATTGAAAGGCCTCAACTTGCACTGGGAAATGGGAATGAGGACTCTAACAGTAAGCCTTCAGTAAATGCATAACTATGCACAGAATATGTTCAGAAAATATATGAATTAACAGTCATTTCATGATACAAAAACACGAAACCCAAACAGAAATTCTGATGTTCTGATATTAACAAGACATCACAACCAACTTATAGAAAGCCACCAATTATCACCATTGGAGGCTTCAAAAAAATCATATTCTGTGTAGTTTCTAGAACATTCAAAGCTGAAGACACTACCTATAGCAGAGTTCAAGTCTGAAGCAGCCTTTACTCAGACCGCCCTTCCAGAACCACCAAGCCTAACTCTGGGGTTAGTTGATACTTGAGTCAACTGAAGATAAGAGTTCAAACAAGAATTTTTAAAAATATGTTTTTATTGATTTTTAGAACGAAAAGGAGAGGGAGAGATAGAAACATCAATGAGAGATAAACATCAATCAGCTGCCTCCTGCATCCCCCCTACCAGGTATGGAGCCTGCAACCCCAGCATATGCCCTGACTGGGAATAGAACCAGTGACACCTCCTGGTGCAGGGGACAATGCTCAATCCACTGAGCCACACCAGCTACGCTCAAAACAAGAATTTATATCTAACTGTCTATCACCCTCAGTCAGTCTCCTTCAAAATCAACTTCTCTATTAAGTCATCTTTAAACATTCCCTCCAATAATGGGAAGACATGTGACAAAGCAAACAGAGCAAAATGTTGATTACAGAATCCAAGTGGTGGGTATCCATGTATACATGTGGTTCATTGGACAATTCTTTCAACTTTTCTATATGTTTGGAATTGTTCCTATTAAAGATGCTGGAGGAATAATATTCCTTCTGATGACATCTGTTAACGGCCGATCAGGACCGGTAGCAGGGTTCCTGACAAAGCATCTCCTTCCTAGGAAGACCACAGTCAGACGGAGCTACCTGGCGATGCAGAGGTGAAAAGCAGTTAAGTACCAAAACAGTAGATGATTAATGCAAAGACAGAACATCATAAAAGGTGGGTTAAAGGTTTTCAAAAATGGATTCCTGACCCTCCTCCACTAAACCAAATGTTTTACTGAGATTATAATTTGAAACAGCAGTCAGAGGGGAGGGCTATTGGGAAGCTGGGTGAAAAAAGTAAAAGGATTAAGCAGAATAAAAAACTCAAAATTAAAAGTAAAAGAACTCAGCTCAGCCAGTGTGGTTCAGTGGTTGAGCATCAACCTATGAACCAAGAGGTCATAGTTCGATTCCCAGTCAGGGCACATGCCTGGGTTTCGGGCTCAAACCCAGTGTGGGGGTGTGTAGGAGGCAGTCGATCAATGAGTCTCTCTCATCATAGATGTTTCTATCTCTCTTTCCCTCTCCCTTCCTCTCTGAAATCAATAAAAATATATTAAAAAAAAAAACAACTCAGTCACAAGCAACAGTATGGTGATTACCAGAGGAAAAAAGTGGGGGTGGGGGGAGGCTGAACACACAATGTAATATACAGATGATGTATTATAGAGCTGAACACCTATATTTCACTAACCATCGCCCCAATAAATCCAACTTAAAAAATTAGTTCACAAAAGAAAGAAAATTAATCATATACGACCTAACCATCCAATAGGAGAATGACTGAATAAGCTATGGCTATAAAAAATGATGACACATCAAGAAAAAAAAAGGCATTATGTGTCATTTTACCAACCAAGATCAGTCATATACTAAACCTGAATTTGAAAGTCAGTGAGGATTTCAAACATCTTTCAACAGGTCAAACACATGGCACCCTATACCTCAAAACAAAATACTTAACTCCATGAAGCTTAAAAAGAAAAAGATGATTCCATGGAAGGCATGATACATACATGAATTTTTCATGCTCAATTAAAAAAAAAAAATCCCTGGGCAGCAATATCTAAATTAGAGGCTGGGCTGAAGAGGCTACTGGCCCAATCTGGACACCAGTTTGTATGAGTGAAATGAGGGCTTCAAGTCGTTCACTCCGAGCCTTCTAGTCAACCACAGCCAAAACAACACTATTAAAAATGGTTTGTAAATATCTGAATGTGAGATGCTGTCTTACAGAAGTAAAGCTGAACTAACATCTTAGGGCAGAGGTGCCCCAAATAAGTGACAGACCCTGTGTTCAGGAAGGACTGCTTTCTAATAAAAAAGTATCAAATTTTATCTCATCGTTTAGAGTCAATGCAATTAAAAATCACAATATAGGAAATAATCCGTTAGAAGAATATGGATTAATTCACCCAAGTTATAACACGGTCATGACATAGGACTTAATGAACCCAAAGCGAAGTCACGTCTACATGCGCACCCAATTAAACACTGGAAATAAAAATAAAAACAAACAAAACCCCATGGTTATGACACAGCTTTTAACCAGAATCCCCAAGAACATATTGAAAGTGAGGAAGCTTGAAATGTGTGGCACCTGTTTGCCTTCACTGCCTCAAATTCCACACATTCAGTGACTCCTTAGCTCCGTGAAACGCAGACCCACACTTAAAGCTTTAACAATTTGTGAATAAAAGAACGTTCCAACTTTATCACCAGGAACATATTTCATTTGGGTAAAAGCAGGAAAATAACTTCTGGTATGGGAAATTGGTATCTAAGTTTTGTTCGGAAGTCATATTCGCCACATGCTGTCCGCTAAATAATAAACACTGCTTCAGGTTTTTTTGTGAAGGTGCATTTCACTTGCACGATCACTTAGCCCCCGTCCACATCCATGTCAAATGCAGTTTTCAAAAAAACTCAGAAACTCAAGGCTAGGATCTGTGTCTTAGGCCCAACACTCGCTTCCCAGAGCCCAGCGGCGCCGGGGGCATGAGAAACGGCGACCGCAGCTGGGTCCGCGGGCCCGTGCGGAGCATCTGGGAGGCACTTAACATCCAGCATCTTGTTTAACCCTCACAACTGCCCCCGGAGGCCCTCCCTGGGGGATGAGTGATCGCTCCCGGGCTTCCTAAGTGTGCCAGACGTCTTCAGATATTGTCACACGTGGGGGGGGGGGGGGGGGGGGGGGCGGGGGCTGAAGGACGGACCGACCCCCGACCAGGCGTCCAACAAGTCCTCTACCAACAGCACATCTACTTACTCTAAGGAATCAACGAAACCTGTCTGCCGAGCTTATGGTGTAGTTTTCAACATTTTCAAGTGGGAATGTTACACGCTGCGGTCCTATATTCAGACACCAGCACTTGGACTTCTTTTTTTTTTTTAAACTCAGAGAAACCATTTCCAACGAAATGCGCCGGGAACTGCTAACCCCACGGAGGGGCAGCAAAGCAGGCGGCCCCAGCCCTGCGGCCGAGCTG